TAGATGATTAATGTTGCAACATCAATGTATTTACAGTACATTGTGTTTTGTAAACAGCATTCAAATAAACATATAAACTCACATATGTTGCTCAGAATTCTGGCAACACAGGCTCAGAAAGCCAGGGAGAATGGCGCACATGCTGAGCCTCAGCCAATCACTGTTCAAGCTTTCTGATTGGCTGAGCCTGGGGCCGGAAGCCAATCAAAAACAAGCGGCAACCCTACCTGGCAACAAGTTACCCTGCTGCCTTGAAGCCAATCTGAAGCGACCCCTTCCAGCTCCATACCAGTATAACACCACCAGGAAGTGATTTCAAGCGAACTTTATGCAAATCAAGCGTTATAAGGGCGAAACAAGCATCATAGAGGTAAAACGGGCAGTCAATTGAAAAGCGTCATAAGTGGCATCAGATGTAAGTTGGGCATCGTAAGTCCAAGGACTCCCTGTATTATCTGTGCCTTTCCTAATGGTTCTTAACATTCTGTTTGCTTTTTTGACTACCGCTGCAAACTGAGCAGATATTTTCAGGAACTAGCCACAATGACTCAAAATTCTCTTTCTTGTGTGTAACAGCTAATTAAGACCCTATCATTTTGTATGTATAGTTGGGATGATGTTTTCCAGTGTGCACTGCTTTGCATTTATGAACATTGAATTTAATCTGCCATTTTGTTGTACAGTCATCTAGTTTTATGAGATCCTTTTGTAACTCTTTGTAGTCTGCTTTGGACTTACCTATCCTTGAGTAATTTTGTACCATCTGAAATTTTTCCACCTGACTGTTTACCCCTTTTTCCAGATCACTTATGAATATGTTGAATAGCACCGGTCCCAGTACAGATCCTTGGGGACCTCTCTCCATTCTAAAAAACTGACCATTTCTTCCTACCCTTTGTTTCCTGTCTTTAACCAGTTACTGATCCATGAGAGGACCTTCCCTCTTATTCCCTGGCTTCTTACTTTGCTTAAGAGCCTTTGGTGAGGCACCTTGTCAAAGGCTTTTTGGAAGTCCAAGTTTACCATATACACTGAATCACCCTTGTTCACATGCTTGTTGACCCCCTCAAAGGATACTAATAGATTGGTGAGGCATGATTTCCCTTTACAAAACCCGTGTTGACTCTACCCCAACATATTGTGTTCATCTGTTTGTCTGATAATTCTGTTCTTTACTATAGTTTCAACCAATTTGCCTGGTACTGAAGTTAGACTTACCGGCCTGTAATTGCCAGTATTGCTTCTGGAGCCTTTTTAAAAAATCAGCATTGCATTAGCTATCCTCCAGTCACCTGGTAGAGACTGATTTAAGCAATATGTTACATAACCTAAAAAGGATAGTGTGACAGGGCCTGGCGTGTCGAGTTGGGGTGCCCATGTTGACTCATTGCGGGGTTGGTACACCCCATCACACAGTCATCGGGATTCCTTGTTAAGCAGGTGATTCCAGTCAAGTGGGTCCTGGCCCCCTGACGGGGTCACTTAGACAAATAGTCTGTGGGTCCCTGGGCAGGCAAAACAAACAAGCAGTCTGAAGCCCTGCAGCCTCCTGGCTGGGGCAGGCAATAGGACTTGGGGAATTAGCCCACTGGCCAGGGCAAAACATCAATCAGTCTATGGCTCCTGAGTTGGGAAAACAAACAAATAGTCTATAGGTCTTACTTCCCTCTGGGCTGGGACATAGAGCAGGCAGCAGCCTCCTCAGCAGGCAGTGGCTTGGCTTCCCCGGCAGTCTCCGTCATCAGCGAGATGCCTGGAGCATAGTCCAGGTGTTTGGGCTCTGCCCCCAGCACTGTCGCAGGAATTAGCAGTGTATGTCCTTTCCCCTCTGTCACCCACTCCGATTGAGCTGGGCTGCCTCCTTAATCTGACTTCTGCACCTGGAGCATGCACAGCAGGGGGAAAGGGTGTGTGGTTGCTTGGGCCCACAATGATTGGTCCACCCCCAGCGGCCCACTGCGGGGTTGGTACACCCCATCATAGATGGCTCAGGTGTGGGAATCTTCCTCATATCCTCGTCAGTGATGAGCAATGCAAAGAATTCATTTAGCTTCTCTGCAACTGCCTTGTCTTTGAATACTCTTTTAGTACCTTGATCATCCAGAGGTCCTGCTGATTGTTTGGCAGGCTTCCTGCTTCTGATGTATTAAATTTTGTTTTGCTCTGAACCATTAGCTATCTTCAAGAACCCATAGAGGACAAGTGAGGTCCCATAGGAATGGAAAAGAACAAACATAGTATCCAGCTTTAAAAAAGGGAGAAAAGGAAGGACCTGGAGAATAATAGGCAAGCTAGCTTAATTTCAATACCTAGAAAGATAATGGAACAAATTATTAAACAATAAGTTAATAACAATAATAGAGGATAATAAGGTGATAAGCAGAAGCCAGTGTGGATTTGTCAAGAACAAACAATCCCAAACCAATCTTATCTCCTTCTTCGACAGGGTAACCAGCCTAATAAAGAGTGGGGAAACAGTAGACGTGATATAGCTTGACTTTAGTAAGGCTTTTGACACAATTCACTTGGCTTTGTCATGAGCAAACTAGGGAAATATGGTCTACGTGCAGTTACTATAAGGTGCTTATATAACTGGTTGAAAGACTGTACTCAAAAAGTAGTTATCAGTGGTTCACTGTCAAACTGGGAGGCTGTACCAAGTAGTATCCTGCAAGGGTCTGTTGTGGGTCTGTTAGTATTCAATATTTTCATTAATGACTTGAATGATGGAATGGAAAGTGTGCTTATAAAATTTGCATACCAAGCTGGGGAGAGGCTACAAGCACTATGGAAGATGGGACTGGAATTCAAACTGATCTTGATAATTTAGAGAATCGGTCTGAAATCAATAAGACAATATTCAGTAAAGACACGTGCAAGGTACTGCACTTAGGAAGGAAAAATCAAATGCACAGATACAAAATGGAGAATAACTGAATAGGCAGCATTACTGCAGAAGAGTCCTAGGGCTATAGTGCATCACAAATTTAATATCAGTCAACAGTATGATGGTGTTGTGAAAAAAGCAAATATTATTCTGAGCTGTATTAACAGGAGTGTCATATGTAAGACATGGGAGGTAATTGTTCTGCTATACCCAGCACTGGTGAGGCCTCATCTGGAGTACTGTGTCCAGTTTTTGGCATCATACTTTAAGAAAGATGTGGACGAATTGGAAGGAGTCCAGAGGAGAGCAGTAAAAATGGTAAAAGGTTTAGAAAACATGACCTATAAGGAAAGGTTGAAAGAACTATGCATGTTTAGTGTAGAGAAGAGAAGGCTGAAGGGGGACGTGGTAAGTCTTCAAATATGTAAACAGTTATTATGAAGAGGACATTATTCAATTGTTTTTCATGTCCTCTGAGGATAGGACAAGAAGTAATTGGCTTAGTTTGCAGTAAGGGAGTTTTACGTTGGCTGTCTCTAACTATAAGAATAATTAAGCAGTGAAAAAGGGATTTTTCCCTGATGTCTTTAGCTTCCCTTATCAATTTTCTACACTTTGTCGTTGGTAACTTATAATGTTCACAATCTACATTGTTTTTTTCCATTTTTTATATAGTGTGTGTTTGTTTCTAATTTCTGGTCTTCACTTCCCTCTTAACTAGGATGGGCTTTTAACCCAGTAGTCCTCTTCTGTGACTGAGGAATTGTGGCTTTTGGGCTGTCTTGTAAACTCTTCTTAAACAATTCCAATGTTCGTTCATGTTTTGTTCTCTAAATTCTTCCTTCCCATCAGTTTTACTCATAATTCTAATTTTCTTCAGCTTTGGAAAATTAGGTTCCAAGTATACCTGTTACTTGGCTGGGATTATCCTAAAGAAATAGCTTTAAATCAGAGGGAACAAAGAAGTGTTTTAGAAAGATGAAGTAGCCAAATGGAAATTTGATTCTAGCCCTCATATATGGGGGGAAACTCAAAAAGAAGGCATTATTAGTAGAGTTTTGTGGGCAGATTAAGAAAGTAGATAAAACTGAGGTGTCAGAAACAGGTCATTTGAGCTCTGTCAGATTTTCTTATCAGCACACCGGCTTACTTTCACCCCAAATTCTCACCAGGAACTTTTCTAATAACTAAGTCAAATTATTTCTGCAGCCTGTCAGAACTGTATTACCCACGTTGGTTGAATCTTAATGGTTTATAATCCATCTTTAATGTTGGAATTCAGTGATGATATGAATATTCCTTAAATTAGGGAAACTGGCATAGGAAAATACACATTCTCTCTCTCTCTCTGAATTTTCTCAGGTTTGGTTTTCCAAATCTTTGTATTGGTAGCAAGAGACAACTTTAAAGCTCAATCCTTAAAAATGCAGAGCACATTCTGGGAGTGCTATTGCACACTTTCACTCATATGGCAGTCTAGATTACTTACCACATTACAGAATAGAGCTTTAAATGATTTAAAAGACTGATCCACATTTGGTTAGCTCAGTTAAATTGGAATATACCAATTTAATTCTTATCTTTTAAAGTAGATAGTCTTAAATAATATTCTTCAGTTTCAGTAAGTACTCTGTCCTTTAAAAATGAGGTTGCTAAGAAGTGTAATATTTTTACTACTTCAGTGTTTAAACATTTTCCATTTCCCTTTCTAAACATGCTAGTTTCTAAACACCTAATTTTCTGCTTGTTAGTGATATAATTGTGATATAGAATTTGATTTGATATACTTGGCACTGTATCTTGGAAAATGATCTCCTAAGCGTGCGCATACATAGCAGCTGATTTTATAAGTTGCATAGTGGTAAGCACATGCTTATCTCCAATCAGAGCTGATTTATAAATTAAACATTATTTAACTTCTCTTTCTAATCAAGCAGTATGAGGAAATAGAATATATTCACAAAGAGGAGAAAAGGATATTGGCTTGCATATTTGTTCTTAGAGACTAAATTATTTTAAAAATTGTTGGTTCGAATCAATTTCATGTATGTTTTAAAACTGCATCTTTTAAAATGTTTATTTTAACTTAGTTATCTTTGCATTTGCTTTTCAGAATTTATTGTTCACAGATGAAAATGATAATTCAGAAATAAAAATAATTGATTTTGGCTTTGCTCGGTTAAAACCACCTGATAATCAGCCTCTTAAGACTCCATGTTTTACTCTTCATTATGCTGCTCCAGAGCTCTTGAATCACAATGGTTATGATGAATCCTGTGATCTCTGGAGTTTGGGGGTCATTTTGGTGAGTGGTTGGTTGTGTGGCTTATTTATTTTGATCATTCTATAACACAAGCAGAATTGATTCCTTGTTAAAACTAATGTCTGGGGAGGGCTTGACATTGTCCCAGATAAGCTAGTATTGGATAAACACTGCTTTGGAGTGGGGTGAGGATATCTTTTTCCTGCACATATAGTAACAAGCTGGGATGTGCACTGGAAGCATTTAAGAAGGTAGAGCTAGAGCCAGCTTTCAGTTTTTTTCTGATCAATTTGATTAAATTATTTTTTCTTGGAATGTTCACCTGTTAAAACAGCTTGGATGTGTGAAGGAAATAATAAGTCGATTATGAGACCTCTATAAATTTATATTACGCTCTTAAAACTATTCCAGTTCAGATAAAGATCCAACCTGCATTCTGTTTTACAGAAAAATTTATTTTGAAACATAAGTAAATGGTATAGGCTTCCCACTGCATAAAATCTGTATGTTTTCAACATTCCTGAGACATGTAAGCCGATGTTGCTAACAAGGTCTCTAAATAAAGACCTGTTGTGCTTTAGGCCATGTACACCTTAAAGAGAAAATATAACTCTTATTAAAGTACTATTAGTTGGAATATATACACTGTTGCTACTCTATAAATAACAATATCTGAATATTGAGTGAGTTAGGTTAATGTAGTCAGTAATGTTGTAATAAGGTTGGCAATAAATATATGGTACTAATTAGTACTACTTTTGTTCTCCTGGTAGTATACAATGCTGTCAGGACAGGTACCCTTCCAGTCTCAAGACAAAGGTTTAACATGCACCAGTGCATTGGAAATTATGAAGAAAATTAAAAAGGGAGAATTCTCCTTTGAAAGAGAAGCCTGGAAGAATGTATCTCAAGAAGCCAAAGATTTGATACAAGGTATGTATCCATGGATTTTTCATATTTTTCTTTTAGTTGCAGTGACCAGAGTAAAGTACCATACTGTATACTTTTGTGTTCTTCAGTTTTGGGTGCTTTATTAATTTAAGTTTATAAGGAAGCCAAAGTAATCTTTTTGTTGCAAGCGGTAATTATCAGCGCATCCAGAATCAAGGTCTATAATTTTTTAGGGATGTCAGTTATTGAACACTTGATGTTTTATTGTTGATTTATGAATGTTTTATAACAAGCACATAGTTCATTTCTTTGTTAAAAAGTGTTTTGTACAACCCTGTGTCAACATTATATGAGCTATATCTAAGTGATATATAAACATGACTCATCAAATGATTCAATTTTTATGTTTTCAAATGATTACTTTATCCATAGTATTAAAAAGATAAATAATAGCTCCTGGATTAAGAATATATTTAATATATATAATATATTTCTGTTAGGACTTCTTACAGTGGATCCAAATAAAAGAATTAAAATGTCCAGCTTGAGATACAGTGAATGGCTTCAAGATGGGAGCCAGCTGTCATCCAATCCTCTAATGACTCCTGATAACTTAGGCTCTTCAGGAGCTGCTGTACATACATACGTCAAAGCAACCTTTCATGTAAGCTTAAAAACTCTTGTATTTTAATTATAAATATTAAACATTTGTTATATTATATCAGCCTAGAATTTGGATTTACATGAATTTGTTTCTTTAAAAAATGTATTCACATTTAGAGTTCTGTGATAGTTGTATAGGAAGTCACAGAAATATAAGGCCTATATAATATGTAGACTTGTATCAGTGGCCAGAAACCTACATGAGAGAATATAATGAAACACATATGTCAAAGTGGGAAGTTGAGAGAGGAATATAGATTTTGACAGCATATTTATATCACTGGGGAAAGTGATGATGGTGAAACAGCTACCATAAATATACAAGTTTAGAGAAGGTCCTTAAACAAAGCTTTGTAAGATACATGTAACATTCTGGTTACACTTAGCACTTGCTTGACTTTCAGTTTAATTGCCCTTCTTGTGATTAGGAAAGAAAGGAAGAAAGTAAACTATTGCTACAAAAATTTGAGCTAAAGCATCTAAAATATATTACGATTTGGAATGGTCTGTGGAAATACCTTAATTGCCTTAATGGACATTTTTGGTTACCAGCATTAATTCACTAAAAATTTGTTTGTTATACAAATGAAGGCAAAGAGGAAAATGTAATATTGATTTTTTCAAAACTTTATATATGAAGAATAATCTAAAACATAATATGTTAAACTGCAGTTTATGCTCAAACACATTGCATTTTATGGCTTCATTACAAACAGGGACTGTGCTGTCCAAGAAGAAGAAGTGGGGTAAACAGTTTTTCTTTATTTAGCAATTGCAGAGATCTCAGTTTTGAAGAAAAAAAAATAACCCTGAAATGTTTAAAACTAAAATTGTAATTTAAGTAAATATAAAATACTGAAATGTAATCTTGACTATATTTATGGCTTAGTAAAATAATTTTAAAACATGGACTATGTGGGGAATTGAAAAATACTGTTTCTTTTGTTTTTTACAGTGCAAATATTTATAATAAAAATAGATATAAAGTGAGAACCGTACACTTTGTATTCTGTGTTTTAATTGAAATCAATGTATTTGCAAATGTAGAAAACATCCAAGAATATTTAAATAAATGGTATTCTATTACTGTTTAACAGTGCGATTAATCGCATGATTAACATTTTTAATCGCTTGACAGCGCTAGTTCAAAGGGTTGTAAAATTGTCATAAACTGCATGAAGAATGTATAGACATGACTCTTGAGAAATAAAACATAGAACTCATACCTTATTACGCATGTTCTAACATTTCTTAAACCTTTTATAAATGCATAAATTGCCTTTTTATTTTGAAACAGGCCTTTAACAAGTACAAAAGAGAAGGATTTTGCCTCCAGAATGTTGACAAGGCACCTCTTGCTAAAAGAAGGAAGATGAAAAAGACTAGTACAAGCACAGAGACACGTAGCAGTTCCAGTGAAAGTTCACATTCTTCCTCCTCTCATTCTCATGGTAAAACTACACCAACAAAAACCCTGCAGCCAACAAATCCTGCAGACAGCAATAACCCAGAAACCATCTTCCAGTTCTCTGACTGAAAATCAGAGAAATATCCTCTCTTGAACAATTAAGAGGTGATATGCCTGGTAATAGCTGTTCCTCCTTGGAACAGAGGGATTACCGGGATATATATGTTCATTGCTTTGAACAACTTGTTTCAGTTCTGCCTTTTTAGCTTTTTGTTTCAAGACATTTGGTTTTAGTCCTAGTTCAGAATCACTGGATGTGGTATAATATTGTGAATACAACCAACATTGAACTCGCTTAGGGCTGGATTGGTGTGCAGTCTAGTCCTGAGTAAAGGGTAATTACATTGTTGTTCTATCCCTGGAGGAAGAGTGTGACTGAGAGGCATAATCTACTTTCAGTTTCCCCACTGCTCCAGGGAGGGAATATACTGTAAAAGGCAATATGTACTCCCTGAAACGCTTTGCCACGAGGCATGTTGTGGGGAGCAGAGTCAAGACTTCTCCTGCCCAACTGCATAAGGAGGGTCATAGCAGCTCTGGTTCCCTCTGCACACAAGTAATGGCGGTACAGTGCACTAAAGCAAGAGGCCATCTTACGTCACTTCTAACTCCCTTGTGTTGGTGCATAGGATGGGCCGGAATCTGGACCTTGTTTTGGAATTTAAGAACAGAACTGAACATAAAAGGAGTACCATTATGCTGTTTTACAAATGTAATCCTTAAATTTGGTTTTATGCTACTCAGAATATAACAGTCTTAGATCCCTTTGCATCGAGATAATATATGGCTGGCAAGATGAGATTGCTTTGCACTGTAATGCTATTGTTTATTTGTATTTCTAGAAAATATAAATTTTTAAAAAACTTTTCAAACTCCAGAACCCAATGATATACCAGAGAAAGGAGTTGAAATTTAGTACTGAACACTTTTTAAAAAATGGTCATGTGTTCAAATGTCTATTTCAAGGAACAGCTATAATGTATTTGTTTATCTTTTATATTTATAGGATAACTTTAAGATACAAAGATTAATGTTTTTTCTAAAAGATGCAGAAACTCCAAATTCCATCTTTGTTATCATGAGATCCATACTAAATGCATGCCAACCTATGTTTTTAATTTTGCATTGCACAAACATGGCAGTTATCGTAGAATATCGTAAAATATTCAATTATATTTCTCTTGTTTGCGCTTTATAAAACATCTGAATGATTTTGATGTTCTCTCATGGAGTTTATTTGGGATCCCACAAGGTGCTGCATGCTACTCTGAGATGCTGACTGTCTTTAAGTCTTACTGATTTCAGTGGGAGTTGTGGGCTCTTCGCACCTTTGGAGGAGTGCTCAGCACCTGGCAGGAATGAATCCCTGTATCTTTGCCATTTTTTTTTCATTCCTTCTTCCTCACATCTTGCTTCTATCTTGTACATAATAAATAATTAGACTTGGGCATGTTGTATAGTGTAGTTGTAAACCACTTATGCACTGGGAAAACTAAAGGGAAATTATACTAAACACTGTGTTTCACAACTGTACACTGTTGTACTACAGTGAGGTATTTCCTGCTGTGGTAGTATATTATGTACATAACCTGTTTGGAATCATAAATATGTGACTTTTACTGAAACATTTCCATTGATATACTTTTAAATTGAATAGCATATTTTGTAAACTTATGCAGAGCATTTCTACTGCTCACCTTCTGAATGACTAGGGACAGCTTTAAGTGCTAAATAAGACCCCAATTATGTAAACAGTTACACATGTGAGTCATCCCATTAAAGTCAATGAGACTACTGGTGTAAAGTACATGTGTAATTGTTAGCAGGATTGGAACCTACTTGACTAACAGATTTTATTAACAGCTTGCTGCATTTTAAAGTAAACTTAATCCAAACCCTATGCAAAAAGCTTATAGGAATTGTTTGTCAATGCTTTTATTTATTTAATTACTTCAGATAACAGTGTTGAGAAATCTTATGCAGCCATGTTTACAAGGATTGTGTTTGACAAAACCAAGAGGTTTTGAAACTCAACATTTGTTCTGTGTTGCTTTAATATTACTAATGACAGCATTTTGAGGATTTGAGAATTACTAATGTGAATTACTTTATTTACTACTTTCTTGACATGGCTGTCAGTAGTAATTGCAGCATTAATTTTAGGTTGATGCGAATATTGAGACATTTGCACTGTTTATGTAGAATTAGTATATCTAATCTTAAAAATCAGTATATATGCTGGTAACAAACAATTTAAAGTGGCTGGGGTTAAGATTTTAAACTAATATTAATATAATATTCAGATTTGTTTTCTGAATAGTCTCTTGGGAGTAATCTCAGTAATAAATACAACTCATTTGTAAACAAATACATTCCCTCCCCCCAGTAAACCTACAGTAAATACAAAGAAACCATAGCAACAATTAACACTTATTATGCAAACAGCACTAACAAATTGCAATGTAGACTGTTTGTAATGTTCAGTAAACTGCACTTTGAGATATTTTTGCTGTACCATTTTTCAAGTACTTTTTAAACAAAAACTAAAAGGTTTCTAAAATTGGAATTAAATGACCCTGCTGAATTTAACTTTTTAAAATGAGGGGGATAATAAAATTTGTTCCCTTGCTTGGGAAACTTGAACAAATGACTTTTTATATTAGAATAACTTTATGGAGAATTACTAAAATTGACTAAAAGAGTGATCATTTCATTCAGAGGAAAGTGCAGTTGTATTTCCATTGTTTTATCACACAGGCATTTATGAAATACTTCATTATGCCATTTTTAGACTATATTGGGACTCTGGAATTATTACAGCTCACAGTAATGGATACACATCTCTTGCATAAAAGAGATTTTCTTTTATACAAGGATATTTGGATACAAAGTCTACTTTTTCTTTTGTACTATACTGGTATAGTGTTTGCGTATCACCTATTTAATTTTTAATATGAGGACGAACAATACTCAGTCACATATAAATACCATGGACTTGATTCTTCATTGTCCTTTGCCTTGTGCAGTCATTTATGCCTGTGCAAAATGCGTGTAAAATTTTGCCACGCTATAATGTTAGGACTAGATTCTCATTTATGCTAAGACTACTGTACACTACTCTATTAGGGTAAAAGGGCACTAAGTGGGTGTAAATTACATTTATAGTTAGTGTAAAGTACTTTTAAACTGCTGCACAAGGTGGAATCATCCTATATATCTCTAATTGTATGTATACTTCTAGATTTCTCCCTATTTAACATAAAATACTAAATTCAGCCACATTTACTAAGAGGAAATATGCCATTTATTATTGAGAGTTTCTAATTTAACTTTAATTTATATCTCTCCATTCCTTCCAGATTATTTGGTGCAGTCAACAGTACTAGGAAGAGCAGTAGATTTGTTTCTTGATAACCCAATTCTTTAACAGTATAGATCTGAGTAACTATTTACTTTTATTTATATCAACTTATTTAAAAAATCATCAAAATATTTAGTTGTACAAATAAACTATTTATTTGTTCTGAGAATTTACTGTTTTTAAAAATAAAAATGGTAACAATTTAGGGGTAGATGTGAAAAAAGCAGAAGGCTTGGAGCAGGAAAAGTACAAAACCAGAGTTCTACTCGACTTTCTACTTCTCAGAATAAGTGAAATTCCTTCTTCTCACATAAAGAGCAATCAGTCCTTAATTTAGAGGATTGTTTCTTTGTACAAGGTCAGACAAAGTACTTAGTACACTTATCTCAGATGTACAGTATTATAAAAGAAGAATTTTACTACAATGGATAATTGTTACTGTTCTTCAGAAGAGCATAAAAATACAAAAAAAGAAAAGGAGTACTTGTGGCACCCAAGAGACTAACAAATTTATTTGAGCATAAGCTTTCGTGAGCTATAGCTCACTTCATCACATCTGATGAAGTGAGCTGTAGCTCACAAAAGCTTATGCTCAAATAAATTTGTTAGTCTCTAAGGAGCCACAAGTCCTCCTTTCCTTTTTGTGGATACAGACTAACACGGCCGCTACTCTGAAACCTGTCATAAAAATACAGTATACCATCAAGATGGCTGACATTTACCATCTTCCAGATTGATAATACTGATGCTCCTGTTTTTGCTGCCCTTCTAAACAAAATAATTTATTACCAGCACAGCCACATTCCCCTGCTACTTCTTCCAGAATATACTTAAAGGAATAGATTCACACAATTGTCATGTATGTGTTTTATCAGTATTGTAAGGAATTGTTACTATATAAGTATCATTCTCAATTTTTAACCAGAAGTGTGTGTATATATATATTTTAATAGTTATTTGGTTTTCAGTTATAATTTTTTGTTGTGGTGTTATGCCTTAAGCATCATACTTAGGGCACTATCAGATTCGCAGTCCATTTTGGTCAATTTCATGGTCATTGGATTTAAAAAATCATATATTTCATGATCTCAGCTATTTAAATCTAAAATTTCACGGTGTTGTAATTGTAGGGGTCCTGACCCAAAAAGGAGTTGTGGGGGGTCGCAAGATTATTGTCGGGGGAATTGCGGTAGTGCTACCCTTACTTCTATGCTGCTACTGGCAGCGGTGCTACCTTCAGAGCTGGGCAGCTGGAGAGCAGCGGCTGCTGGCCGGTATCCCAGCTCTGAAGGCAGCGCCACTGCCAGCAGCAGCGCAGAAGTAAGGATGGCATGGTACGGTATTGCCACCCTTATTTCTGCGCTGTTGCCTGAAGAACTGGACCCTCAGTCAGCAGCCACCATTCTCCGGTCTCCCAGCTCTGAAGGCAGCAGCGCAGAAGTAAGGGTGACATGGTATGGTATTGCCACCCTTCCTTCTGCACAGCTGCTGGCGTGGCACTGCCTTTAGAGCTGGGCACATGGCCCACAGCTGCTTCTCTCTGGCTGCCCAGCTCTGAAGGCAGCACAGAAGTAAGGGTGGCAATACCGTCACCCACCTAAAATAACCTTGCAACCCCCCTGCAGCTCCCTTTTGGGTCAGGACCCCTAATTTGAGAAACGCAGGTCTCTCCCATGAAATCCATACAGTATAAGGTAAAAGCACACAAAGACCAGATTTCACGGGAGGAGACCAGATTTCATGATCCGTGACACGTTTTTCATGACTGTGAATTTGGTAGGGCCCTAATCATTCCGGAGGCTTTGGCTCAGTCTTCCTGATCATGGTTCATATCTTTTCTTTGCATGCCCCCCTGGACCCCACTACACATAACACATGCATGTCCCTCACTGTCTTTTACTGTGACCACCACTGTATTTACTCCCTTCCTTCTGAGGAATCTTGATGTTTGAATCTTCTAGGCAGAGGAAACTGGAAATAGTGTGGCTGCTACCGTTCCAGAGACCAAAGTGCCTTGATCTTTCAGTCTCTGTCAACCTGTAAGAAATATCTTCAGTTTGCATTATATATAAGTTTTGTATATTTTAACCAAATGTACTGTAAAGTCAGATACATTATTTTTTTGTTTTGGGGGGTTTATTGCGGTCTGCTATATTAGCTTTATTCCTTTTTATAGCACCCCTATAAATATGCTTATTTTAGTTGTTTGTATAATTCTTCTTAAAAAAAAAGTGTGTGTGTGTGTGTGTGTGTGTGTAACATTTGGTCATGTAGTTTGCTAAATTCATGATCTAATGTAATTCTTCACTCTAGTGTCCCCTTTTTCAAAGGGTATTGCAAATGCTGTAGATATGTACACTTTACATGTAATATAGAGTGAAGCTGATAAGAATTGGATAAAAATATATAATTCTACACCCCTATCCTGGAAACATGTTTATGAGTAATTTGTGTGTCTGCAAGTTTGAGGCTTTTTAAGAAATCAAGAGGAAAAAATACATGCTCTTTGCTACTCCAAGAAAGTAACATATGTTGCCTTTTAAATAATACTAATACTATAATTAAGGCTAAGATTTTGTCATGGATATTTTTAGTAAAAGTCAGGGACAGGTGTCTTTCATGATTTTTTTGTTATTGCCCATGACCTGTCCCTGACTTTTACTAAAAATATCAATGATAAAATGGGAAGGGGCTGGGCAGCTGCAGGGTGGCTGGAAGTCCAGGGTCCCCACTGCCTGCTGGGGCTCAGAGCTTCAAGGATCCCCCTACCCTTCCACGGCAGCCAGGGGCTGCCTTGGTCCCTCTGCTCTCCCGCGGCGGCCAGGGTCTGTGGGTTTTCCCGTGCCCCC